TCCACTCCCCCGAGGCCGCAGCTCCCGAGGTTAGGTCGGGCGCCTCCTGCGGCTATGGCTGTGTCTCTCGTGGCTGTCCCAGCCCCTCCGCCCAGGTGGGCCACAGCTTGCAGTCTCCCCCAGCTGCCCCAGGAATCCCAGGCCGAAATCCAGCCACACTCTTGCCTCAGCCTCCAAATCCAGGACCAATCAGCCGCCCCTCCCCAAGCCTCCTCTTCTGCCTCTTTCCTCCAGAGTGTTTGCCACACCTGGAGCCCTATTGACACACACAACCACCGGTCCATTTTGAGTGTCCCTACCACACCCACCCTCTAAGACAGTGTCGCTGGAGCAGGGCCTCACCTGCCTGCCTCCTCTGTCCCCAGCACTTACAACAGGCTTGACACGAAGTAAGAATTTAAGCATTGCCTGTGGCAAGACCTCAGGACCCCATATCCCACTCTCAATGCTTAGAATGTTATTCCTGGCCTCATCTTCATTAGAGAACTTCTATGCATCCTATAAAACCCCATCCAATTATCATTTGACCAGGGACTGCTTCTTTGCCTGCACCCCACACACAATGGCCAGACTGTGGCTAGGGTTTCCCTGGGGATACACAGTGCCCCACACTGCCTCAATTGCCACACGTGTCACGTGAATAATAGCCATGCATGTCACCTCGGTCCACTTCTTGGGCAAGACTCTCCTCTGAGGGCAAATGGGAAGTGATGATGAGGTGCCCTGAACTATGGATGGAATTGAGTAAATTACACGCCTGTGCGGGTGGAGACGTCCATCATCTGAGGCCCAACCTCCAGCGACTGCAACTGCCACCCTCCCTACCACATGCCGTGGCTCCCACTGCCCACGAATGACCCCTTTCTCCGTGTGGTCATCGGAACAGAGGTAATGGAGGGGAGGGGACACGCGGGAGCCTTAGCTGAGGAATCCCCGTGGAGAACCGCCTGGGGGACCTGGTGACAGGCAGCTCCACCAGGCACCCGGGGGCTTGAGATGACCAAGGACAGGGAGGGCTGAGCAGGAGGGGCTGGCGAGGCCTAGGAAAGACCTTCTTGGGGCATCGGTCAGGCTGGGGGGATGAGCGCCCCGTGGCCTCAGTTTACCCACTGCAACTCCAGATGCGTGAGCTGCGTGGGTGGACTCAGCCTTTGGGTCTCCAGTGGGACGCCGGGTGAGGATCCAGGCTCGGGCCCTGTGCCTCTGAGCATCACTCCTTCCCCTCCAGACAGGAGCCTGCGTGTCACAGTCCAGCCTCACAGTGACCTTGGCTATGACCTTCCCAGCACAGCCTTTGTGCTCCCGCCCATGGACTGAGGCCTCAGCGATCCGCCCTCCCTGGACGGAGCTCAGAAGCCACGGCGGCCTGACGTGACGGGGACCCAGAGGGACGGTTGAGCCACCGCCCCGGCCTATGGAGCGGGAGCTGCGGTCTCGTCCTGTTTCCCTCTCGGAATCACCCCCTGCTGGCACCTGCCTGTCAGACTGGCCCTCCTCGCAGGCTCACTGCCGACCCTGGCAGCTCTGGCCCCAGCAGTGCCCCCTGTGCGCATCACAGCAGCAGGGAGAAGACCCAGTTCCTGTCACCGCTCCCCCTGACCTGGCACCTTTGCGGCATCCTGTACTACACCGTGCTTCCACTCCCGACCCTGCCATCCTCCCTGGACAGTCGGGGTGCTGCAGCCCTTGTTCCCACGACCACAGGCCTATTACTTAGCATGCACGTGCCTTGGTTTCCCCATCTAGAGAACACGGCCCATTTCGAAGCACGTGGTGAGGACCATGCCTGCACACACGTGAGGAGACAGGAAATCGGAGCCTCGCCAGGGCAGAGCCAGATCCTGCTGTGTACAGCAACCCGGGAGGCCCTGGCAGCTAGAACCAGCAAGGTGGGAAGGGTCACACACAGAGTGGGTCCTAGGGAACCACACTGCCCGGCCTTCAGGGCCAGGAGACCTCGGGCCCTGCCCTCAACCCCCAAAGGGCAACAAACACAGCCCTGGGGCTGGGGGCAGAGGTGAGCACTTGGGCCAGGCAGGGGCCTCAGGGGAGCCCCAAAAGGGAAGGGACTTCAGGAAGGGCTGGGCCGGTGTGCCTTGTGGGCATCCAGTGAGCCAAATCCTGGGCTCATCTGTGTGGAGGATTAAGGAGGAACTTTCCAGACAAGACGGGGAGACCGGTGGGGTCCAGGCCTGGACACTGGAGACCAGCTGTGGCAACGATGGTCCTTGGAGGTGCCAGTGCCAGGAAAAGTGGTCTCCCGACTGCAGCTGGCCCTGGCTGGGGAATCCCACTGCGGGTGTTAGAGAAGCCACAGACAGAGCTTTGAACCTTGGTGGTGTACAACTGTAATCCCAATATTCTAGCAGGCTGAGGCAGGAGGATCCCAAGTCAAGACCATCCTGGACAACTTAGCAAGATTTTGTCTTAAAGTGAAACATAAAAAAGGGCTGGGGTTAGAGCTCAGTTCAAGAGCTGGGTTCAGACCCCAGTATCACACACACACAGAGCTGCATCTCTGACACATGAATGGGGTGACATCAGATAGTTGTTGCTCTTCTGTTGTCTTCAGATGGACACAAATCAGTTTCCTGCTCCCCTAAGGCCTCCCCCGACCCGCTTAGCACAGGCCGCCAGCCCCACCCAGACACCTCAGCCCTTGCCAGGTGAGTGCTCAGGTATGCGGAGGCCAAGGCTGCAGGGAGGGAGGAGCGAGGGGACAAGGAGGGGCCAGGAGGACAGGAGCCTGGAGCCGGAGCCAGACACAGAGCTGAGCCAGGCCAGCGGACAGCAGGACTTCTGCACCTCACAGGGCTGTCTGCACCGGAGGTCTAAGGGGGAGGCCTGGCAGCTGCACCTTCCCTGCAGCCAGGCAGTCGGCACATCGCTGCTCTCTGGAGACCCCAGTGGTCAGGAGCTCCCACACTTGGCACCATGAACACCACAACTGCCACCTCTGTCACCCCTGGGTGAGTGACACTGCCTTCCCGGGTCTGAGGAGGAGGCCAGGCCTAGACCCTGGGTCTGAGGGAGGAAGCTGGGCTGGACCCAGGCCTGAGCCAGGAGGCTGGGCCGGATCAGGGTCTGAGGGAGGAGGCCCGGCAGGGACCCCAGGTCTGAGGGAGGAGAAGTCGGAGCCCAGCCCCCATACCTGCCGAGCCAGTTTGTGGCACCAAGGCCAGGACACCGGGAGCCCAGCACCCTCCTCCCTCCCGTTGTGGTTACAGGGACAGCCCAGAGTCGGATTCAGAGGGCTCACCCAGCCGCAAGGACGGGGAACCCCACCCCGTGAGCCCAGCTCTCCCCTGTTCCTGGTGCACTAGACCAGGAGATTTCACAGCAGGTCCCTAGCAGGCATTCCACCTATGGGACTGCTTTGGCCACCAAAATTATCTTCTCATTAAATACTGACCTTCTGCTAGAAAATCAGGGCTGTTAAGGACGAGGACTCCGGGGTCTGGAGTGAAATGGCAAATATATAGAGAGATGAGTCTAAAGAGCTGCATGGTAGATAGTGAGCTCTCTGGCTCGGGGGTAACCAAATCGTGGTGAGGCCCGACTGGCAGGAGGAGCATGAAGAGCAGGGCTTTGGCTGAAGTCTCCTCAGCCTCCCTCACCCACGCCGAGGTCTGGGACAAGGGGATGTATGGACTCTCATAGACAGCGCCCTTGAAGAGCAGCCAGGGAGAGCAGAAGGCAGAGGACAACCTAGCTGGAAAGAGTGCAGGGGAGGAGGAGGGAAGGGACCGCAGCATTTGTCCTTGTTCAGGAGCTCATCTAAGGCCATCCCAGCAAGAGTCACGACAGTGACAGAGGCCTCAGACACTGCACAGGCATCTTCTCATTGATTTGCCCACCAGCCGGAAGCCATCTTACAGAAAGGGAAACTGAGGCAGAGGCAGTAAGTCTCCTGCCCAGGCTATGGCAAGGAAGTAACACAGAGGATTTGAACCCAGGTCCGCATGACAGTGGGGCCTCACTCATGACCCGCTCCCAGCACCCTCACCGTGCAGGCCTTGTAGTGCTGCCTGGCACTCTGTGGGTTCCGCCCCGGATTCCCACAGCCCCTCCCACTTTTCGTTCCTTCACCAGCCCAGAAGCTGCCCCCAAGCCAAGTGCCAAGTCTATCTATGGTGAGTGAGGGGCCTGGAGTCCAGGTCCAGTGGGAGGAGGCTGGGTCTGTAGTCCAGTGTCTGAGGGGCAGGCTGGGCCTGACTCCTGCCTGCTCCCTCTTTCCCACACAGAGCAGAGGAAGCGTTACTCCACGGTGGTGATGGCCGATGTGTCCCAGTACCAGGTCAATGTGAGTCTGGTCTGCTCCTGCAGGAAGTCTGCTTGTGGACAGTGGGTCTGGAGAGACACAGCCATTCAAGCCGTTCTGACCTCAGACAGAAACACATGTTGGAACCTCAGTGTACACAGGGCAAATGGACTGTCTCCGCCTCAGCTGTGAGCTCCGTGCCATGGAGTCCGCTGACTTTCTGCACCACCTTGGTGCTGAACAGAGACAAATGGCAATGAGGCAGGAGTGGGGGACACGGCCCAGAGGCGACACAGGCTCTCAGGAGGCCCCGAGAGAATATGTAATTCAGATCGTTGTCCCCCAGTCTGGTGCCCACTGTCCGCAGGGAGAACAGGACCGGCCTGGGCGAGGAGCTGACCCCGAGGTGGTGGGGCGGCTTCTGGAGCAGGCGCAGTCGGCCTCAGGCCGAAGTCTGCGTCCCAGGGGCCCCATCCACTCACTGCTTTCTCTGGGCACCAGCACCTGGTGACCTTCTGCCTGGGCGAGGAGGACGGCGTGCACACGGTGGAGGACGCATCCAGGAAGCTGGCCGTCATGGACAGCCAGGGCCGCATCTGGACCCAGGAGATGCTGCTGCGCGTGTCCCCTGGGCACGTCACGCTGCTCGACCCGGCCTCCAAGGTGGGGAAGGAAGCAGGTGGAGGAGTGGCTGGGCTTTGACCGCGGGGAACCTCGGAGGGCTGAGCGCAGGGGACGAGCGCCCCCTTCCAGCCCGCCAGCCGCTCCTATTAAACGAGAGGCACCCTGCCTGGCTCCTGCACCGGTGCCTCAGTTTACCCTGCGATCCCGCCTGCAGGAGGAACTGGAGTCCTACCCCCTGGGGTCCATAGTGCGCTGCGACGCTGTGACGCCGCCCGGCGGGAGCCGCTCGCTGCTGCTGCTGGTGTGTCAGGAGCCCGAGCGCCCGCAGCCCGACGTGCACTTCTTCCAGGGCCTGCGCCTAGGGGTAAGAGGCTGGGTTCCCCACCCGGACAGAAACGGGGCGTGGCCCGCGGGCAGAGGTGGGGTCAGGGCGGCAGGGAGGGGCGTGGCCTGGGAAGAGGCTCTGGGAGGGAAGGTTTGCGGACTGGGTGAGTCGGCCTGGGCGCGGTCTGAAGGTAGTGGGCGGGGCTTGGCCCCGTGACTGGCAGGCGGAGCTGATCCGCGAGGACATCCAGGGGGCTCTGCACAGTTACCGCTCCGGACGAGGGGATCGCAGGGCAGCGGCGCTCAGGTGAGGGGCTGCACCGGAAGTGGGAGGGGACGGGGGTCTCCTATCCCTCTCAGACGAGGCCACCCCCTCTCCTGGCCGTCGGACCCCAGTTTCCACCCAACTCCGAGCCTACCTCTGGCCTCTTCGAGTCTCAGGGTCTCTTTCCCAGCCAGGAGTTTCTTCCTCGCTGATCCGGCCTCGGTTTACCCCACTCCTCCACAGGGCCGCGGAGGAGGAGCTGCAGCGCCGGCCTGCGCCCGCCGCCCAAACCCCGC